TACTTCTAATGACAGTGTAATCTACTTTGCTACTCTGACGACAATGTAGTATTACTTTTCTACTTCAATGAGTATGTAATCTTACTTTGCTACTTCTAACAAGAATGTACTATTACTTTGCTACTTCTAATGTAACCGTGCTACTTTTTGTGGCAATCAACTCTTGTTACGTTTTATGACAATGCTTACGTTACTACTTTTAAAAGATAATTAAATGTGGTTATCTTTGATTACTATGTAGCATTACTACTTCCGCTAACAATATATATTTCTGACAAAGATGTACTCTCATTGTAGTAACTCCAAGCAGCGGCGATACGGTATTCTCTATTAGCACAACAAGTGGTCAGATTCAATTGCTGGAAGCGCTGGATTATGAAACAGATACTGGATATATCATCACCATAGAAATAGAAGATGGTTCAGCGGCAACAGCCCAAGCAGATTTACAAATCAATGTGATCGATATCAATGACAATTATCCTGTTTGTTCCTTGGAAAATGTTGTAGTTGAGATTGATGAAGGGATGTGTAAGTTACCTATATATGTTCACATACATGTGTTTACAGTGATTTGTAAATCATTTACCAAAACTCATTATAATGATAGTTTATCTTTATTGTTTCTACATTGCTGTATTGGACAATTCTCTGATCTCTGTTCTTATGATTCAGATAACATTGCTGTTGTCACCGGTGTATTTTTAAACTGTACGGATTATGATGACGGTGTTTTGGGAACATTGTCCTACAGTCTCACCTCACAGGACCCTTGTTGTGAATTCACCGAGGATGGGGTTACAGGCGACGTTAATTTACCATGTAAGTTGTACTGTTTTAGGTTATTCCTATTTCCATAGATCATATAATTGTCTGCCACCAAAAACAAACCTTTGCGGATGTCAAGTAGATACCGATGCTCACTTGTTTTTGTTTTTATTTCAGCCGATACATTGGATTTTGACGCTTCGTCCAGACGATATGATTTAATATTGCAAGTATCCGATGGTGACGCTTCACCTAAATCAATAGAAATACCAATCACAGTTCTAGTCAATCCGGTTGACGAGGGTCCTCCAGCATTCGCTGGCCCGTTCAGCACATCAGTAGCTGAAGATGTCGATATTGGGACACTTATTGAGCTGTGTACAGCAACGGACCCTGACTCGACAGACACCACAGACGGACAAATATCATACTATATCACTGATGGTGACCCAGACGCTCATTTTGCCATTGGAAGATTAGATGGTAAAGTGACAACAATAGCATTATTAGATAGAGAGGTCGTGTCGTCGTATACATTGGAGATTACGGCATATGACGGAAATGGTGGCACAGACACACAGACGCTGACTGTTACGGTGACTGACGTCAACGATTATATCCCGTCTTGCAACGTTACAACGTTTTGGCTAGAGCTAGAGGAAGATATATCCCCTGGCATCGTCTACACATTGTTCTGCGAAGATTACGACCCGGCAGATAGTACTCTGGCGTTTACGATTACAGCTGGCGATTCAACAACATTCAACATCAATTCAAATGGTGAACTATCTTTACAATCGCCGGGATTGGACTATGATTACGGAAGAAGATCTTATGATATTGAAATCACTGTAGAAGATTCAGTTTCTAATACGTTTGTAGTGCATGGAATAGTGTATGTGTTGGCAGTCGATGATGGTCCACCTGTTTTTTCAGGTCAGTTTTCGGTATATACTTAGTCATTTTGTCTTACGTTGCGTTGTATTGTGTCGTGTTGTGCCGTGCTGTGTTTGTTGTGTTGTGCTATGTTTGTTTTTCTTTTCTAATTTACCAACCTTTCTTTACGTAATAGGTAGCTATAGTGTTAATGTGGCGGAAGACACTGCAGCCAGTACCACACTGATTACTGTTGTGGCCAATGATCCGGATGCCAATGACACTGTACATGGTGAAGTCACATACTCTCTGGCAGCATCATGCAGCTGTCCGGAATTCGCCATCGACGCAGTCACCGGTGAAGTTATTCTCTTGCAGACGTTGGACTTTGAAACAAGTCAGACCCACACGGTGGACATTGAAGCATACGATCGTGACACAATAGTCACTGCATCGATCAGTGTCACGGTGACAGATGTAAATGACAATAACCCAGTTTTCGACCCCAGAATGTATAGGTAAGTTGAAGAATAATATACGCACGTGCAGATTAGTAAGATTATAACGCACTGTGGTTTATCTGACAGGTATTTTAATTAGTTAATTAGGCAACCAAGATGACCTCCCTTGTCCACAAAGCTTATTGTATGAATTTACAAATTTTGTAAGTATTCTTTATGGATACTGTAGTATAACTATGCACAAAAATGTTTTTTTTGGTCAAAAGTGATTTTTAAAAAATTAGCTCTGTTTCCTGTCAAAATTAGTTTACGGGTACATCTATTTACTATGAAGAAAGTTCAAACTACCATGACATTATTCTGTTTTTCTTTCGTTTTACGTTTTGTTTTTTAAAAGCCACAGTGTGCACTATATCTAGTAATGCATTATTTTATTAGAAAGGTGAAGGTGACAGTATCTAATTTATCACTTTGTATCTTATATCTAGTGTATCAATCGATGAAGGACTTTCAGCAGGCGAAGCAGTAGTCACTGTTATAGCAACCGATGTTGATTCCACCGTAGATGACAACAACGTCATACAGTTTTCCATCACTGGTACGTGGAATAATATCTACTATGATTGTAATACATAGCTGACATGTTGTTTCATTGTGTGATAAGTTTATTTACCTTTCCTTCACAGATGGAAACACCGGCTCCCACTTTTCAATAGACTCGTCAACAGGAGACATCACCACTGCAGATGTATTGGATTATGAAGCTATGCAGGTGTATAATCTTGAAGTAACTGCGACTGATTTGAATGGAGGAGCAGATGGACTCACTGATGTCTCGTATGTAACAGTTGTTGTAAATGCCGTAAATGAAGCAACACCTGTTTTTCAATCAACGCCTTACTCCGTTTCAGTTCCTGAAGTTATAGCCACAGGCGAGTCAGTATTTCAAGTTAATGTGACTGATGATGACTTGCCCTCCCATCCACATGGTCAAGTGAAATGTGAAATTACAGCCGGAAATAGTGAGGGACATTTTTCAATTGATGGAGAGACCGGTATCATATATACAACTTCTTTACTAGACAGGGAAAATATAGCATCATATACATTGACTGTGACAGCAACAGACAGCACTATAACACTCGGGGATCAGCTGTCATCAAGTGAAGATGTTATTATCACAGTAGAAGATGAAAACGATAACATACCCAAGTGTAATCCATCTGTTTACGCCACCAGTATTCCAGAAAGCATACCTGTTGGAACAACAGTCATTGTGGTCACCACGGAAGATCCAGACGATGGTACAAATGCGCAGATAGATTTGACCAAATTGAGTGGTGACCCGAACAACGATTTCTCACTTGTTGGAAATGAAGTCTTAGTGGCAAGTGCATTGGCTCATCATATTACAGACACCTATGAAATCATTATAACTGCCACAGACCAAGGAACAACGTCCTTGTCTAGCGAGTGCTCGATTAGTATAGTTGTCCTTTCGGAAAATAACTTTCCCCCAGAATTTAGTACAGCCTTGGATGCAGTATCTGTATCTGAGTACGAACCATTGGATACTGTCATATACACGGTTGTTGCAACGGATGATGATGAGGGCCAGCATGGAGATTTGAGTTACTTCATTACTGATGGGAATGATGAGCAAGCATTTATGCTTGACGAGACAACGGGTGATATCATAATTGCCCTGAATCTCGACCGTGAAAGGACTAGCAGTTACGCACTTGAAATCACAGTTTTCGACAATGGTGACAACGTGGATGATACATTTAATGATACAATGACTTTGAATATTGAAATTACTGATGAAAATGATAACTCACCAGCTTTCTCACAGATGCAGTACGTTGCTGATACTGATGAAAATATTGCAGTTGGCACTAGCGTTACACAAGTTGTAGCTACAGACCGCGACATTGGAACGAATGATGATATTGTTTATAGTATAATAGCGGGTCTCGGACAAGGATATTTTTCAATCCAGTCTGACACAGGAGTGATAAATACTGCATCGGACATTGATGCTGAACTCATGTCGCTGTACAGCTTTCATATACAAGCAGTAGATGGTGGGTCTCCACAAAAAACTTCCTATGCAGTTGTACAGATCATCATTAATGACTTGAATGATAACACACCTGTATTTGTACCTGCAACAGTTGTAGCAAATGTTTATGAAGACAGTGCTGAGAACGACCAAGTGTATACGATGTACGCAATGGACGACGATGTGGACAGTGATGGTAATATCACTTATTTTATACAGGGGGCGACCCTTCCAATCAGTTTCGTATAAGTGATACGACTGGCGAGCTGACTGTTTCAGGCATTGGTCTGGATCGCGAAACTGATGACAGGTACATTTATTTACTCAATATACAATATAGAATAAATCTGTTTTGAATAATGAATATATGTGAATTATCACTTTGTTGTTTGACAATTTATTTCATGTTCATATGATATGTTGCTTCATCAGCTACAATTTGATCATCGAAGCAGAGGATGGGGGTGTACCGACATTAACTGGCACAACTACTCTCACTGTTTCTATTATGGATGTTAATGATAATCCACCAGTTATAGATCAAGCCTCATATTCTGAGAGTATACCAGAAGACAGTTATATTGGTTTGGTGGTCTGTGACGTTGACGCCACCGATGAAGATATTGGGGCAAATGCCAGACTATCTTACTCATTCTCGTCAGGAAATGAGTTAGGTTAGTAACATTGCTCTACTGATATGAACACCACTCAACGAATTTTGGGCATAATATATTACATTTGTTATAAGTATAATGCCATTTCTTTGTTTCTGTACTTGCTAGGTCACTTTGCCATAGACACGGACACAGGAATAATAACTATAGATTCAGAATTGGACCATGAAGCAGTCGTTTCATATGTTTTGGCAGTCACTGTGAGTGATAATGGTACGCCGGTGATGGCAGCAGATGTAGATGTTACTGTAAATGTGAACGATGTAAATGACAATATACCATTGTTTACAATGGAAACATACACGTTCAACGTACTGGAGAATTCTGCGGCTGGCACACTTGTAAACACAATAGTTGCCACTGATCTTGATGAAGCTGAAAATGGCAGAATCATTTATTCGATTGTCAGTGGTGAAAACTTGAATCATTTTGCTATAGATTCAGATTCCGGTGACATTTTTGTTGCAGTGTCTGATATAGACAGAGAGAATTTCGATTACTATTCACTAACATGCAAAGCAACGGACAATGGTGATCTATCTCTGTTCAGTGAGGCAACAGTTCTCATCACTGTGCTTGACGAAAATGACAATTCCCCCGTATTCACATTAGACGTGTATGAAACACAACTCACTGAGAACAGCCCTGTGGGTACTAGTGTAACTGTTATCTCAGCGACTGATATCGACCAGGATATAAATGCGGACATACGGTATTCGATCCCAGCTTCTCAAATAATAGCCAATGAGTATTTTAAAGTTGATTCAACTAGTGGTGAAATCACTGTCAAATTTCCAATAGACAGCGATACTATCCCGTATGTAGAATTCACTGTATATGCTGAAGACAGTGGCGCACCAACAATGCGAGGGACAGCAACGGTACTTGTATATACGAGAAACATCAACGATAATATTCCCAGGTTTGATCCTGAATATTATAGTACAGAGTTTTCTTATTTGAATACTCTTCACCAACCAATCACTACGGTCATGGCAACTGATGGGGACCGCGGTCAACTAGTGTCGTATCACGTGGTAGATGATGGAGCCGATCTGTTTGAAATAGACGAAAATGATGGTTAGATCATTTATATGTTCTATACATATATAATTATATTATTATTATTTTCATCTCATGCTAGTGGCTGAATAACAAGTAATCGCCAGATATTATGCTATTTCTGACATATTTTCAGGCTACGTTTATTTAATTCAAAATAAGGCGCCTGACGTTTACACAAAGTACGTCATCACCGTTGAAGCACGAGATGATTGGACGCCCCAGTTAAGTTCTACTGTTAATGCTATAGTTAGAATGGACACATTCGATCCCTATCTACAACTGGTAGATTTCTATATGTCGGTTACGGAGGACGAGTTTGAAGCTTCCAAAGATGAATTCTTGGAAAGACTGAAAATATTCGTGCAAGATGATTATCCAACGGCTAGGTGTGGAGTCTCACATATCACAAGAAGGAATCGTAACCCATCTCAATCAAGACGAAAGCTACTAGCTGATGAGTAAGATTTGTTAATGTCAACTTCAACAATATCTACAAGAATAACACAATTAACATAACACAATATAGTCAAATCAGTGAGAGAAAGATACATGGTGTACATAAAGTGATGCCAGGTGAAAAAATATTTTATAGCAATATGCACAAAATTAAATCAATGTCGTTTTAAAATTAAAACTATGTGATCTTTTG